CTTGGGTAACCAGTTCAAACGGCATTTCCCGAGAGGATGCAACGTAATAACGGAGCTATAAGAGTACTATCTAAAATCTAAGTCTTATAGTAGTATAGATATATACTAGGGATATATCCTAGATAATACTTATACTATAATTATAACTATAGTATATACTATATAGACACGCGCCTAGGATATAGTTATATATAACTATTATATACTTCTAAATAGGTATACTATTAGGGTTTTAGGGAATTATAAAGATAGTAACTACCCCTAGAGTACTATATTTATTATATATTACGCTACTAGAAATAATTATAATAACTATATTTAGCTTACCTTTAGGATAGTAATATACCTATTTTAAGATCTAGCTAATAACTCTAAATAAGCAGGAGTACTTTAATAGTAATAGACACAACATGCTACTACTATAGGCTAACTAGCCTAACCTTAGAGGATAATAGAAGATAATAATAGTATTAAATAGATTTAAATAATAATAATTATTAACCTTATAGGAGTAGCTATAGTTTACTATAGATATAGTACTTAACTTTAACCTAGTAATAAGCTATATATTATTAATAAATATAGATAGTCTAAGACTAACTACCTATAGTTAAGTAAGATAATAGGTCTATATCTAGCTTTATAGTACTAGGCTCTTTATACTAATACTATTACTATATAATATACTAGTATTTATTAGGTAAGTATATTATCTATATATTACGCTAGACTATTATTAGATATACTAACTTATACTAATTACTGCGTAGTTATACTACTTATATACCTATTTAATTTATATTATACTATAGTTTTCTAAAAATAAGTAAGGTACGTAGTAGATAGCCTTATAATTACGTAGGTATAGGCTAATTATTACGTAGGTATAGGCTAATAATTAGGTAGTTTTAGGCCTGTTAATTAGGCAGGTATAGGCTATTAATTAGGTAGGTTAGGCCTAGGGATAGGATAGGTAATAATATACTAGTAGTTTATATAAGGATACTAAAAAAAATCTAATACTATTATTACTATACCTAATACTTATATTTTATCTTTTATAAACTACTTTATATACTCTACTAATAGGACTATTATAAACTACTTTATTTACTCTACTAATAGGTCTATAGTAAACTATACTATATTTATACTATAAAAAAGTAAACTACTACTTTAAACCTATTTATAGGTATACATAAGGTTAGTTTACACCTATATAGTAAACCCCTAGCATACTATTCTATAGTAAACAATTTTTTACCGTAGTGCTCCATGTACAATGTAATGTACATACTCTACAACGAGTACGGGACCAAGTGTGGCGGCACTCCGTGGTCCGTGGCTGTGTGCATGTACAAAGCTTATGTCTCGTCAGCACTCATGTTGCACGCCGTGGTCATCCTTGCAAGCCCCCAAGTCGTCCCACCCCGTATCCACCTGCTTCATAGCTCAAGTTGATACACTCACCTCTGTTCAATCTTGCTCACAATTGGCCCCATGATCATTCTACATTAAAACTGGAAACCATTGAGGTACGTACCTACGTGTACCTACCTACAGTGTGCTCGAATCATCTACTTTGCTCAACACACTACCTACCTACCTCATGCACAAGAGGTAGCTTATTCAACCACAACCCAACCCAGACCCGCCCCTCTCACAGAGAAGTGCGTCGTTCGAAGCATCGCTGCTCACCCCCAACCCTCACTCCATCCATGCAACACTCCCTCGCAAATTCACCCCAACTCTCCGCTAACCATGGCTCGTACAGCTCGTTCCGAATTATCCAGGCCTTAATCAAACGTACATCAAGTACTGCAACCTGCCAAACCAGCATCTTCTACGGCCCAAGAGGTGAGGCAAAGTGCACCTAGACCTGATCCAACAGTCGCTGAATCCCTTCAACTTGCGAAATCGCGCTTTCAATGAGCCTGTGACCTGTTAGCATTGAAGTATCCCGGAGACATGTGGACGAAAAGTACCCTGGGTTAGACGTCGTGGCAGAGAGAATGTTGTCCAAGTTGGCTTGCGCTTCCGCCATACGGGCTTCCAGCTGTGTGCGTTGTGCTTGTCCTTGGGCCGGTGGCGGCGGTGGTGGTGGCTGTCGAGCTGTCGGTGCTTGCTGAGTGCGGTAGCCTGTAGTTCGTGCTCTTGTGAGCATTGCGTCTAGCACGTCAAGCTCTCCCGCCCAATCCACTTCACCGTCTTCGTACCGGCCAGCATCCTCAGGGTTATCGAGGGTCCCTGGTATCGGACCAAAAGGGCCACTACCCCTCATACCCGCGAACATGTCATTGGTGCCTAGGTTGTGGCCTCCTCCAACGGGCGGAGCATGTCCTCCTACAATGGCGTTTCTCCTCCCATTGGCATTCCTCAATTCTGACGACACTGAGTGAATTATCTGGTCGGTCGAAAAGTCCTGCTTCCAGTACGGCAAAACTTCTCCTCCATCTTGGCCATTTGGTTCAGCTACGAACAAGAGGAGGATCTTACCTTTAAGCCCCGCGTAAGTATCGAAGCCTTGTGATCGCATGTAGTAACACAGGCGAAGCGCATCCTGGGCTGCTGGCTTCTTGGTCGTTGGCTCAATAGCTGCCGTCCAGGCACAGGCTTGTCTCTGAGTGAGTGTATCGGCGGCCCTTTTGCCGAGATAGTCAAGTACGGCGCGCTGCACTTTGATATATTCGAGAGTAGTCTCCGCTGAATCCTTTTGGTCTGAATATGTAGTCTGTGGTAGCGAGCTGACCAGTGTCGTGACAGGCTTCTTGATCACCGAATGGGCAGGATCGCTGGGTTCCATAGCAAGAAGAGGTGTTGTGCCGTTAGCACCTTGAACAGGCTGTCCTGGAATTGCAGAAGCTTGGGATCTGAGGGAGGTAAAGTTGATATTGGCGCCCCTAGTGGGCAATGGCATATTGTCAGGGGGATTGCGACGTATCTCAGCCTCTCTCTCCGACATATTCCTATGCAATTCTTGGAACTCTGCAATGAGTCCCGCTAGATGAACACTGGAGTCCAACGCTGTGTTCTGGAAAGTACCGTCGTGTGGAACCTGGCGACGGAGGTTGTTGCCGGGATTACTAGAGCTACGTTCTGGCGAAGAGTCGGTGCTGTTGTTGTCTGGCATGTTGGTGAGCGAGCGAAGACCAAACCTTCCCTTGTAATGAGCAAATGATCAGAGGGGAAAACAATGGAAGTGTGTGAATCAAACAGTCGTATGATGTGGAGGAATGGTCATGTATAGAAAGAGTGTGAAACGCGTAGAGGCGCCAAGAAATTGCTCGTGGCAGGCGCGAGCCCTTGGGCGGAGTGGGTAAGTGAAGTGGGAAGGTGCGAGTCACCTTCACATCGACTTCATTGGACGCGCAAACGAGTGACTGTGCAACCCAAGACCTTTCGCAGGCAGATCATTGATGAGTGAAGAGCGCTAAGATGATCAAGATGACTGTGGAAAGAAATGCTAATCCTGAGAGTGAATTGGAAGATATCAGAAAAGGACAGCAAATTGTCTCCACAGAACGAAAAGTGATGTGACATCTGCCCCATCTATCTTTTCAAAGCAGTTGGGAACCAACAAAAAGTATGAGATATTGCTGTCATAGAAGAATGTTCGAGAGGACATTTATAAGGTCTACGAGATAGATACCAACCACTTGAAGCAACGTCACCACTGGCGATGGAAATGTTAATCCATTCACGTTGCACCACATCATTTCTCAGGAAAACGGCATCTTTCCCTCATAGCAGGCTGGTAAGGGAAAACACATTTGTCGTATGTCATCATTGAAGCATCGAGCATGATTCTCGGTCTCCATGTCGGTAGCTGTGTTGTGCTGTGGTCCAGGTCCAACGTTGAGCAGGCCTTCAGGGAACGGCAGATACGTTCATGATCTCGGTGACGAGGGTGACAGTTGAAATTGACTGTAATGTACCTGAAAGAGCATAGCAGTGCCAGCTGTAGCGAATATAGTGACAGGCTCACGATGCTGATGGGAGAACAAAGCGGCCAAGAAGTCTGAAATCTGTGATTTAATGGGATGGAGGGCTAGGACTTTGGAACTTCTGCATAAGCTAATGCCGTTCTCTCTTTCTGCATTTGACACGTCGTTTCGATCAGGATCGTATGCGTTGAGGGTAGTTATTTTTACTGATTGAACCATGCTTGGGGAATCCATCTGGGCGGAGACACCAGATCCAAGCTGTTACTTCAAGTTGCAGAGGCGCGGGCATATGTCTCGTGACTTTTCAAGAGGGTGAACTCCAGACGTCAGTGTACTGGTTACTAAAATATGGTTACTAAAATAAGCGGTAAGAGGATGTGAGTATTACGGGTTTGCCTTGTGAGCGAGTGTTGGTGTCTCGGTTCATGGAGGTCGGCTAGCCTTGCTGTATTGCTGCCCCTTTCGTGTAAGATCTGCGCTACAGCCTTTTTGACATTCAGTTCTCAACGTTCAGTCACAACGAACCTATTCGAAAATCACGGGAATCGCAAAACGTTTACAGATGGTTTGCACAAGAGTTATCGGCAAATGCTCACAGCCTTCAAGCGACTAGTAGGTGAGTACTGACTAAGAATAATCACCACTCGCCGCAATCTCATTCCGGCTATCTGTACCTTCCACTCACAGGTAGGCTTTTTAGATAGTTTCCACCTGTTATTCGGTCCATATCCCAGTTTTCTCAACCTCCAAGGCTGCCATCAATCACGACTCGCCCACCACCCAATCACCTATTACCCAGCGCACCCTACCGGTAACCATCCCCAACTCACGCTTAGTGACCGTTAAATGGCTGGATACTGTCGCACTGCCAAGTCAGATGTGCCTTCACACGGGGCGATCACTTGTTCTCGATCTTGGAATGACGGATGACGTATGACCCACTTTCCCTGCCGTGTTCACATTCTCACAAGTTACGATCCTTGTCGCAACATCGTCAACCAAGCCACGTTTGTGCCCTGGAACCTGGATTCTGGACATGAGATCACTTTTGCAAGGCAGAAGGGTGGAGTGCAGTATGGGCTGTGTATATATGCTGCGCTGCCCGATTTGGAGGAGCGAGGTGTTATCCAAAGAATACAACGATATTTTTATCTGCACCATACACTGATCCTGTGAAACGACCTAGTATTATTTTTTCCACACAACAGATAGTAACAAAAAGTAAAAGGACATGTCGTCTAACAAAGATCAAAACAAGTCTTCGAAAACCTACCGGGAAGCCGCAAACGAGTACTACAACCAGAAGTACGAGACATGGATGCCCTGGATCGAAGACCAGTACCTCAAGTGGTTCACAAAGGACAACAAGGCTAGCTATGCTACCAAACGTACGTCTTTGGCCGTCTTGTACCATTTCCTCCCAAGCCCTCGTCCCCCCTGTTCCATAAAAATCTCACTCACATTACACTCTTAACACCGAACCAGAGAGCCTCGACAAAACCAAAGTCACGGGCATATCGCAAGTTGACAACCTCCAAGACGGTGTCAACAGCCTAATAAGCGGCCAAGTCGGCAAAGGAGGCCTCGCACAACCCATCGGCGATCATCTCTCCAAGGAGGCCATCAACCGCGCCGAGAGGGGAGGCAAGGACGAAAATGGAAGGCCGATTGAGGCACAGGGACCTCTGGGAGGGTAAGTCGTTTTCTGATGTGTGATGAAGAGGTGACCAGGCTGACGGGTACATAAAGGTACGGACAAAGTGCTGCAGATAGCGTAAAAGGTGGAGCGAGCAGTGTCGCTGGGGGTGTGACTGGGGGCGCAAAGAGCGCAGGAGGGTACGTTGGCGGGCTGTTTGGCGGAGGGAAGAAGGAGGGTGAGGCAAAGAAATAGGCCTGGCGCATGTGTTGAAGGAGGCCGAGAAGGACGTATGATACCATTGTCCAAATTTTTAGGATATTTGCTTGAAATTACTATTTGCGTCGTAATGTAACGATTCTTCTCTTTGTGCGAGGACCTTGCGCCCTTTTCTGCCCTTGATCGCTTCTTCTCCACGGGTATACACTCATCCTTCTCACCCAGTCAGTCGAACCGAGCATCTGATCCGTACACACAAGTCTTCTCCATAAATCACTGCCTCCCAACATCTACATCCCTCCCCTCCCCCTGTTCAACCCCAAACAACTTCAGCGCATTCCCTCTCTTGAACATGCTCGCACAATCCACCGCCGTCGGTGTCCCGGCCCTTACATCTGCCCCAGCCCTATACAATACCCTGACCACCTCATCCCACCCCTTGAACACGGCCCCTGCAATCGGGCTCTGACCCCTCGCATTCAACACATTGACGTCTGCGCCGGCGTCAACGAGCATCTGTGCGGTCTCAATGTGCCCGTGGTACGATGCTAGCATGAGCAGAGTGTCGCCGGCGGAATTTGTGAGGTTGAGCGGGATGCCCGCGGTGAGGTACTGTTGTAGGACTGGCGTTCTGCCGGCGCGGGCAACGTCAAATACTTTGGCGGCGAAGTCTAGGGCGGCTGGAGGAAGGTGGTGAGACGAGCTGGGTGGTTGAACGGGATTGCTGAGGTTTGACGCGGAGGTGGATGTGGATGTGCTTGGGACTATGCCGTAGACTTCCTCATAGGATGGCATCGTGGGCTGGAACGTATAGTTCTTATGGTGTGCTGTTAAGACTCGGTAGTATGATGAATCTGTGGTGAGTGAAGTAAAGCAGACCGTTCCTTCAGATAAATGAACAGGGGAATTTGAAGGCGATGCGCCCGACTGTGTATACTGCTACATTGCGAATAGTACTAGCGTGGGCAAAAGTATGGTAGTACCCCAATGTTGCGACGCCTATCATTCTTGAGTAGTCGATGACGAAATCAACTCCGCGACTCTGTTCCCGCACTAGAACGCGCTAGGCCCACGCGCAGCAACTGGTCTTGGCATCTGATCGCGACTTCTTTAATTGTATCGAACGTTCCTCACAACCACCGTATCGACTCGACCACCAGATACATTACCCAAGACAGTTCCTCCGTCGCGGTCGCGCGACACATACACACAATCACCATGGCGTCACCACCGTCCATGTCCCAGCTGCACCCCCCACGCAAGCGCGGCAGCATATCCTCTCTGTCTGGGGTTTCAAAGAGGCGCAAACCATCGAATTTACGCAATGCATTCAGCCCCGATGCTGAGGATAACCCCTCTGGACAGTTCTCACGGTCACCGTCTCTTGACAGCCTAGCCACGACGTCCGTCATCAACGGCGCTGGTGGCGGAGGGAAGAAGAAGCGTAAGAAGGGCGGTGATGTGGGTGATGGCGCCAGTGTGGCCGGGTCGAGTCTACGTGGAGGAAAGGGAAGAGGTGGGGAAGGAGAAGGAGGAGAAGCAGAAGGCGAATACGAAGAGGGTGAAGACGATGACGAAGATGACATGGGAGAGGAAATGGACACAGCCATCGAAGGCGGGATGAGTGTTGAAGCGCGGCGGAAACAAGAGAAGGATCACGAGCGGTATATCTACCCCCCTCCTTGCACCCACAAACAAGGACTCCCCTATCTACGCCCTCACATAACCTTTGGAATATACTAACCCAACACCCCACAGCATGTTAATGGACTACATGACACCCGCGCAAATAGACCGCTACGCCACCTACCGCCGCATCCGCCTCAAGCGCGAAACGGTGCGCAAACTCGTCAACCAAACGCTCTCCCAATCCGTCCCCCAACCTGTCATCATCGCCGTAACCTCGTACGCCAAATCCTTCATCGGCGAACTTATCGACCGCGCCCTCACCGTCCGCGACGAATGGTCCGCCGTCCGCACCCATCTACCCAACCCAGACCTGCCCCCTCCAATCCTAATGCAGAGCCTCCAGCGCCCCTCGGCACACATCAAGGACGAACGCAATCGCCCGACAAACACGGACATTCAGAGTGCAGGCTGGTACCTCAACCAGGTCGATCGCTCCCAGCCGCTTTGGAAGGAAATCCCACGCGACGCTTCTCTCCAGGACAGACTCAAGCAGACGGATAAGGGCCCTCTGACCCCCGCTCATCTGAGAGAGGCCGTGCGACGGTATAAGCGGGATCGTGACGGTGGGGGTGCAGGCTTCGCGGGCATGAGTCTCGAGGGCGTGGAGAGAACTATGGCGAGGACGGGTGGGAAGAGATTGTTTCGTTGAATCCTCGAAGGGGGCAAGGGGGGGTTTTTTTTTGGGGTGCGATGCGTCGGTCTTGGAAATTTCATAAGACTGCTTTTTCTCTCTCTTTCAGTCACGGGACTTCTGGGTGCGGGGGCGATCCTCGTGTCCAATTTGCATCTTGCGAGCAAGGTTTATATATGCATAGCCATGGCGTTTGGGGGTAAGGTGCTCAAGCATGATTTGGCCGTTTGAAGTCCGGGAGTATGAATTATATATTATTCCCCACCTGTTTTCCTCGGAGCTCTCCCCGATAGTTTGGAGGTGACGTGCCTGTAATCTGGACCTCAAGAGAATGTAGAGATCATGCACGATAGCTGTTCAGCACACCCACTGCAATACGTGAATGATGTGCGGGAAAAGGGTGGTTTGAACTTGCCACATACTTTACGATGAACAGGGTCATTCACGTCACTCAAAATACGAAAAGACAGGCAAGTGAAGAAGTGAAACCTTCTTGTGAGGTATTTTGTCAAGACAGCTACAGCATTATAGCCATCCATCCTATTGCACCCATGCATTCATCCTTCATTCAAGAGAAACTTAGGGAAATCATAAAACGACCAGACACTTAGTTCTCAGCAAGGAGGTTCAAGAAAGTGTCGGCAGCAGGCTCAGGCTTGCTGTCCTTGAGCTTCTTCTGGCCGAGCTTCTCCTTCGAGAAGGCAGCAGCGTATGGGTTGAGACGGAGCTGCACCTGGAAGTTCTTGAGAGGGTTCTTCTTCTGTACGACACCACGCTTGGAGACGGCAGCACCACGGACGGGGCGGAGGACCTTCTGGACGTCGCTGGAGTTGATGATCTTGCTGAGGTCGGGCTGGCTCATGATAGTGGATGGCAGGAGGTAGTCCTTCTTGAGCGCTGATGGCTCAGTGGTGGAGCCATAGATGGTGTCAAGAGCGCTGAAAGCGGATGAGGTCCAGACGATGAAGCGACCGAGGTGGCCACCTGGGGCGAGCTGGAGAAGGTTGAGGGAGTAGACGGATGACGTCTCAACACCGGGGATGTTGCGGAAAGCCAGGACAAGGTCCTTGCCATCTTCATCGGGGTTGTAGATGACCAGAGGACCACGGCGCTGCTTGTGGCGGCGTCCACGGAGCTTACCCTTACCAGCACGGAGCTTGCGGGAGTTCTTGGCCTTCTCAACATCACCACCAGCACCGACAGCCTTCAACAGAGCAACGGCAGCGGATGTCTTCTTGATGGCGCCATCGGCGAAAGCAGTCGACGAGACGACGAGGGGAACCTCGGGGACGGTGCTAATGTGGTGACCACGGGCGAGGAGGAGGGCGGGACTGCCAGAGGCGGCGATCGCAGAAGCAGTAGCGAAACGCTTCTGGTTCTGGTTGATCTTCTGGTGCCACTTGCGCCAGACCTTGGTTGGGGCGAACATGCGACCGGAACGGCACATGTTACCGAACGCAGCTTGACCAGCACGGTGAGTACCTCCACCAGAGACACGGGGGATACGGGCGACAGCACGTCCAGTACCCCAGGACTCGGCAGAAGTCTGGTGACCAGCCTTCTCGGAGCTGATGTGCTGTTAGATGGAGTTATCAGCCCGTTTGTGAGGAAGGCTTACACAGCGTATGGCTGCCTGCGGTTCTTGTTCATGCCAGTGTGGACCGCGTGGACGATATCCGGGCGGATAGGTGCCTGATTTCCTTGTTAGCAACATGAATGGATGTGTGCATATTGGTATCCTCGAGCGACAGCAAAATAGCCTAGGGATGAGAGAATCTGTTGTATGGTGGCTTCTTCTCTTGTGTCGATAGATGTTCAACCGTAATGACCGCTAATGACCGCTGAACCGACCGGCAGACATGAAATGTTGCAATTGTACACGCCCGACGTATGTATGACCCAAGATGTCATATCGTCTCCATTCTTTTTGTTCGTTTTCATGTATTTGCGATCGGCTCGGCAGTCGTTGTGGTGGCTCATCCAGATTCTCTCCCCTCCTCGAACTTTTGCGCGCCGTGCAGACTCTGTGATTGGAGCGTGTAAAACTGACCTTGAAGACATTGGGCACGGTGGCAGTGTCCGAGGATGCCTCGCCCTTGGCGGAGATGATGGTGACGGTCGGCCTGGACATGGTGGCTATCGTGGGCGGTTGTCCTGTTGTTAGTTGTCGTCAGAAGGAAGTTGGTCGTCCCTGCGAAGCCCCCAAAAATCGTGGTGCTGTTCTCGCTTAATTGTGCAGAGTGCGCTAGCGCGATAGTAGCTAGACTGTTTCTGTGCGATGTCGCTGTCTGCCTATGCCCATCCCCAACACCACCCCATCCAACGGGATGGCAGAAACATCAAGTTACGAAGTGTTTTCAGTGTCATTTATTCTGTTTGCAGAAGTCTTACTATGATTTGGGGGTAACTCAAATGCAGCACCCTTCATGTATGACGCATACTGGTCGAGACCGAATACAAATTGCCAGACATTCGATCCCAACTAATCAAATTTGGACACTGCGAGGCTATACTCATGGTCCGCAAGTCTGCAGCACATACATGCAAGAAAAAAGTCTCCTTGGAGCTCCTGGTGGCAGGGTGCAATGACTAACAATCAAATCATCTCAGGAGCTGGGGAGTGAGATCGTGACTTGAGTCACGTCCCAGACAATCTTCCCGCTGATAGTCAACCATGAAATGCTCAACCATGTAATCAGGCGGATCAAATTGGGCCTGATCATTTTGGTGGATCACTCAGCACTGTCATCGATATTGAATGCGCTTGTCTGCTCACACCGCGCTTGAGTGCATTGTCCGTCGGCTCTCCTTATTATAGGCTCTGCATGATAGTACTTCGTATTTTTCTCTGAGCTTTCTATAGCAACAGACACATATCATAGTATGGTATAGTAATCAAACAAAACATACGAGATGCCAATAGCCGGAATCTCCACAGATCTAAATATGTATATCCTCGTGTGTACTATGTAGGGCTGATCCGATAGTCGTGTGTATACATTAGTACATAGCTGCGGCGTAAGCTAATCGATTCGTATTCGATACGCGGTCGATGCCGACCGGGTTGCCATTATTAGACAGTGATCAGCCAAATCTCACGGTTACACATATAATAGACAGCTACTATACACATAGTGTCTTATGATGCGTGAATGCGGTGCACTTGCTCAGGGGGGACGGATAGAGCGCCGTCCTCTGTACAATGACACTCTGTTTCTGATCCTGTACTAGAAGCACGCATGGGAGGTAGATAAACCCCAACTTTCTGTTGAACCACTATTGTTGATTAGTACACAATGACAGACGCGCGATCCACTTGATGTTAGTACTATCTTGATATTAGTAATACAATAGTAGAGATATCTGGCTTATGAACGGTTCCAAAGCCATGGTAGACGGTGGAATGATCAGCTTTTGATCTCGAACTACGTTGTGCCCGAGATCAGGCTAAGATCGGCTTTGGGGTTTTTCCAATGTCCACAAGCCGATCGCAATCACGACGCGACGGCTATTCCGCGGATGCTGCCTGCTGAAACAACCTCCAAGCCGTTCGCATACCTGGATTCGGCAGGCGGCATGTAATGAAGGACGGGCGATGGACAACAGGGCAACAGAAACGGGCGGGCGTAACAGGATGTGCATTTTTGAAAGTGGTGTTGGTGCAGTGCTGCGTACGTACCTAGAGAAGGCGATGTGGACGGTTGTCGTGCCTTGGGTATCCAACAAGGAGTACGAAACACGTCGCACGAGCCATCTGAGGAGACGAGACGAGGCACGACAGAAACCGTCAAGACTGCAAAACTAGTGGTTGTGAAACGGGGCAAATGGGCGAGATGATGGCCATGGCGGATTACGAATGCATGGTCGCAACTTGTTGCGCAGACCTTCACCCTGCCAACCGGTGGGCCGACCAGTGTCTTCCGTTTCAGATAGGTGGTTAATTACTGCTGGGTTCATCTTGCGTACCTGTGTTAGAGGGTTGCCATAGGCCGGGCCCTGACGACTCGAGTGTCGAAACACGGGCTTCCGGAAGCCAAGCAAGGCCAGGATGTCGCAGACGAACGAGTTGTGACGAAGATGGGAGGGAGAAGAGGGGTAGTAGTAGGTAGGTACATGTTGCAGCTTTGCAAAGCAGCGGGTACCATGGGTACGTCTGTGGGCCAGCATTACTGTGCTTTTAGTCGGTAGTTGGCCGGGTGTTCGCACACATGGCAAGTTCTTGCACCTACAATAGGTACAGTACTAGGCAATTTGTGGGAGCGGACTGGTGTTCGGGCCCGCTTTGGACTGCAAGTCGGACCCCCCAAGGCTGCCCCTTCCGATGGGAACCCCCGTCTCGTCTTTTCCCGCCCTCGTTCGCTCGATGGGTGCGTCAGGGGCCAACAGATGGCCGGTTTCCAAGGCTCGGTGAACAAAGGCGCAGAAAGACCATGGTGTTCATGTGGGCGGGCATGGAGTTGCCACTAGCGAGCGCATTGGCTGGGGTCCCCATTGTGTTGTACATTAGGCACACACGATACTACTTGATCCTCTTTCTCTCTCTCTCTCTCTCTCTCTCTCTCTCTATTGTACATACTAGGCAGACGCCATTGGTGATGGTGACTGTTGGTGGGTGTGGGTACCTTAGATGAGCAGACACACAGACAGGCAAGGCAGGTGGGCAGCAGCAGCAGCAGCAGGGCCTTGGAGTAGCTAGTAAGCCTTAGACAGCACTAGGAGAGAGAAGGAGTGTGTGCAAGAGAGAATAGTTATCCTAGTTAATCACCCACCTACCGTGGGAGTGGATAGTAAGCAGAAGAGTTCAGCGGGGGCGGGGGCCGTTGCCTTTGTTCTTGACTGACAGGCTCGCCGCCAGGGTTGCTGAGCATTGGTGTGTCTACGTAGAGTATTGTACAATGTAGGTTCGATGTAGTACATAGGTACTAGGGTAGGTACCTCTTATGTACTACATGGTTCGACTTCCAAGGCATGGCTGGACGGTCGAGGGGCTTCCTTGACGTTGTGAGTGGCCGCACCTGCTTTTGTTACCGACGGTTGGCAGTTTCTATTTTGGGACGTCGGCGCTTGAGGCACAGGACACAGGCCCACTCAGCGCCCTCTGGTTGGTCCTCTGCTCCCATCTTCACCACACCATTCACGCCGCCTCGACACACACACACACACACAGCCAGCTGCACAGCTTGCCTCTCTCTCTCTCTCTCTCTCTCCTCCCAAATCCTTTCTCCACGGCGGCTGCGGCTCTGCCATCCACCAGCTTGCTCTCCCGCCCCAACCCTCGCCCGCCCCCCCCTCTCCCCTCCTCCCAAGAAAAAAGCTGGTCACGACTGCGCACTTGTCCGAGCCCTTTCCCGAGCGCACGTGTTTGTGGGTTGTCTGTGTCAACTGGTCTGTCTGTCTGTCTGTGTGAGAGAGAGAGTGTGAGTGAGTGTGTGTCTGCGCCTTTGAGTCTTGTGGTGTCTAGTCGTCGCATCGACCGCCGTAAAGGAAGGAGAGCAACAGCGAAACGACCGACTGCTAAGTGCCACCTGCTTCAAGCACTCACCGTCACCGTCACCGTCACCGTCACTGGTTCCCTTGTTCCTTCCATCCTGGGGACGGCACCTGCCAACGGCCAAACCACGCTCACGACAAACGACGACAACAACACCAAACAACAGCAGCAGGTTGTTGCCTGTCACCCCTCCAACTCACCTGCCTCGTCTCCTCCATTCCACCCTTCTGCGCCTTTTATTTTCCGTGCCGCACTCCATTCAGGTCCAGGCGCATCGCCGGCCTAGTCGCTCCCTCCTCAGGCGCTTATTCGAGAATCTGGTATTCTCGCTGCAAAACCACCAACTGTCCTGCTGCTGCTACCGCCGCCTCTCTTGTTGGCAACCAGGTGCGTCGCGCCTTCCTTGTCCCACTGTCCCCTCCCCCTCCCCTTCCTCCATCGTTTCCCACGCCCCTGTGCCTCTCCTCTACCCGCCTGCTATCGTCGGCTGTGTGAGCACCAAGACTGGGTCTAGAACGAGGGCTCACGTAACCCGTCTCTCGTCGTCTGCTCGCCGCCAGTCAGTCAGTCAGTCTGCACTGCACTGCACTGCACTGCACTCCACTCCACTGTGTTGCGCTGTGCTGCACTGCTCGTCGCTGCCAGCCATGGACACGACAAACGGGCTTGCTGGTTGCACTGCGACTCGTTCACACACCTCCTACCCCACTCCCCCAATGCACAGCACACAACTCCACACAGGGCGAGCTGCCATGTCTGCCTCGCCCACTACACGCTTGCTGTACGAAGCTGACAGTCCAACGCTGAAAAGGGCTCTCTCTACACCTAATTCTTCTTTTCCTTCCAAGAAACTCGAGCAGGCGTTTCCACACTGCCCCAACCCACCACCCACCTCGCCGCACGCCCGTCGCTGGGCCAGTCACTCCGGCAGTCGCTGCCCCAAGCTGGTCACACCCACCCCACCTCGACAACCCAACATGGTTCAAACGAGCGCGCGTTCACCGCTGCCAATGCCTTCGTTCGGTTCGGTGTTTGGAGCAGAATCTCGCCAATCTAGGCTCCAGGGCCACACTTTTGCAAATGGCTCCAATCTAGCACGGCCGCACACAAGCGGGAACCCAAATACAAGCGCACCCTTCTCCACCTTTCATCTTCACCACGATAGTCGGGACAGCAACTCGACAGCCTCCTCAGACAACTCGCCGACCACCACCATCTCTACCATGGACTCGTCGTCTGTCACCGACCCGTCGCCAGGTGTATCACCAGAGTCGCCTCTGGCCAAGACAAACACACCTTCCTCCTTCGTAGCCGACTTTCGATCCCGGAGAACAGAGCCAGCTTCGGGCGACTCGTCGAGTACTTTCTTCGAGTTACAGAGACCGACGACGCCTGCAAAAAAGCCGCGCAACTTGAAGAATCTGGGCATCAATACAGCCTCCTCGCTGAGCAATCTACGTGGAAACGCACCAGCGTCTGTGGCTCCCAAGGAGAAGACTAGCTCTGCGCCGCCTTCTCCTCTGTTCATTAAGCCGCCCACTCCGCCAAAGAGGCGGCCGTCCAATCTGAGCTTGACCATCTCCACCCCTGGCAGTAATGAAGGCAAGCCTGTGAGGCTCCTCATTCCTTCCACGCCATCCTTTAATCGCCCTGCATTGCGCCACTTCCAATCTTCACCATCCTTGCCAATATGTTCGAGCGCAAACCTCAAGGGCCCCAAGGGAGGTATGCAATTGCCTCCATTGCGCCCCATCACCACGAAACCCTCTGGCCTTTCAGAGGTGCCGTTCGAGATGGAAGAAGAGGAGGACCAGGAACCCAATTTCGATATACCGCAGTCGCGGGAAGAGAAGCCGGCTGCATACCCAAACGGACCGATCTGCATATACGAGGCTGGCGTATATCTCTACTTTGAGCCAACAGCTGAACAAGCCACTACTTTCGATGTCATCATCAACGTAGCCAGTGAGGTCAAAGATCCATTTCTTTCGTCCGCGCCAGAGACTCAGAAGGACATTGACGCTCGACGTGTAGATGGGCCACCGGCAGAAGATGTCGACTTTGCTACGCTTGCGCAGCGTCTGAAGCCTGCATCATTCTCACCGGAGAGCTCATCCACATCCAAAACTGCGCCGACGATGAAGGTGACGCCGCCACGAAAAGTTGTCCTGGACGGCAAGACATACACCACGCCAGAGTACATACACGTACCATGGGAGCACAACACTGACATTGTGCCTGACCTCTACAAGCTTGTGAAGATCATGGACGATCATCTGAAGCAAGGGAGACGTGTGTTGATCCATTGCCAATGCGGTGTCAGTCGGTCAGCTAGCTTGATTGTTGCATACGGACTATACAAAGATCCCCAGATGAGCGTCCAAGAAGCGTACGACAAAGCAAAGAAGCGGAGCAAGTGGATTGGACCGAACATGAACCTCATCATGCAGCTACAAGAGTTCCGCAATGGTCTGTTGAGGCAGAATGAGAGCCGGTCCTATCATAACCAGGGTTATGGTCGACGCTCTGCTGGGCTTCCGAGTACAAGGTCGACCAATGGCAACGTGTACTCGCCTTTTGATAGAGATAGTCCATCAGGATCACGTACTCCTCAGACCGCGCCGCTGCCTCCGGAGAGTGATATCAGCATGCAAAGAGCCAGCACAGGGAATATCATGGCCATCTCACCAGGACCATTGTCGGCGCCTACGGGCATCTTTGCTCCAGGATTCCGTCGCTCATGGGACTCCAGCAACACCCACTTCGACCTCTCGTCACAGTCCACGCCAACGACGACCCCTCAGGTTGGCCCCAGAGACCAGCCTGTGCCAACCCTTTCGATTGGTAACGACTTGCCGACGACTTTTAGACGAGATGATTCAGCGACAGAGACTACAACTTCAAAGCAAGATACCACCTCGCTGCCATTGTCGGTTCCCAACTTCTCTCGCCAACTACCACTAAGGCTATCTGATAACCAAGACGAGGAGTCAACCTGTGGCACGTCAGAAAGGCTTTTAGCTCCGATGCAGTCTTTTGCAACGCAGTCTTTGAAATCACCCGCCGTGTCTACTTTTAGCATTCCCCGCATGGGGTTCCAGGATCCTTCTTACGAGACGGAGGTCACATCACCAATCAAAACATCGTTTGGCGAAGACGCGTGGCCACGAGGATATGACGTCGAACCGCAATCAGATGTACCTGCGCTGAAAGTACGCGACATGTCGACGCCGCTGGCACCGATCAGATCTACTGAAATCAACATGGCTGGGCTCAGCAGTAGGGCAGGTATTGGTGACAGTTTCCTCACACCACATACACCTTTTAGGCTTGGTCAGCCACCGCCATCACCGAAACCTCGCTTCGTTGCAAGGCCAGACGAGGCGCCGGAAGTTGCATCTCCCATTGCCACACACTTTCCCAAGGATGTATTTGGTAGTGCCGATGATGTGATGGAGGATGAATTAAAGTCTCCGCGCGCAACAGAGTTCCACATGACTCCATTGAAACCAAGGCTGTCAAAAGATGAGGATCCATTTGGCCTAACATCGCCGACACGAATGGAGAGCGCTTGCAATCCCTTCGAGCTTCAAAGCCTTGCAGCGCTAAAGGCGGTTAAGGCCGAAGATCGGCGACCGTCATTCCAGGCCATCTTGCCACCGGAGCACCAGACTTTCAACGGATTTGCTTCTATTGACGGCACCACCCAGGCAAATTCCCCACCCTTTGTCAGCCTCCATGCTACGCCCAACATTGGTCTTGAGTCAGCCACGGACCATGATAGCAAATCCGAAGAGGTCAAAGACCATGCTCCTATCGCTGCATCTACATCTAGCCTGTTGGAGACACCGAATCTCTCGCAGAGCCAAAGCCACAATTCCTCGTCGACATCTGCAAAGGCCATCCGAACACGGTTCTCGTCGCCGAACATGCGTGATCAGCGAAAATTGCAGAAGCTGCAGACCGAGATCCAGTCCAAGTTGCCTAAGCCGAACGTTGCCCAGCATTCTATGGATGACATTGACGCTTTGACGTCACCACGTGCGGAAGAATTCACAAGGAACCCCTTTCACATCGAGCTGTCCCCCGCGAACGACGAGTCCAGCCCAGTTTCATCAAACGAGACAATCAAAGATGGCCGCAACGGGCATGACTGGAGCGATCCCCCGCTCCGGCAATGGACACCTGAGAAGGCTGCTGTTGATCCTAGAAGTCCAGTACAGACAGGCAACAGCCCTATAGTTCGCAACATTTGGGATGTACTGTGAAGCGTATTGCGGACTGTCTGATCTTAAACCCCAGCGTACCTAAATCAGGCGCGTTTTGAAAACACACGGATTGTCTACGTGCGATGTCGATGAGAAACCTTGCTTTAGTTCATTGTGAGTCTATGAGCAATGGATCACAGTATCCGAAACCTGGCATAGTCGCGTCTAATGAAAAGACAGCTTGCAAGCCTGGCATATTTATCTTGCACAACAAAGTCTTTCCACATCTACGAAACCAGTGGAACAGCTCCATGAAAGGGCGGGTGACAGTGCCCACCCTTTGCCGCCATGAATCCTTCACCTACAGCAACCTCCCTCCAAGTTCCTTTGGTCGTGTTTCCTATTTGTCAAACCCGGCGTCCATTCGCCTACTCTACATTCGCTTTTGGGGGTCTTATGCGTGCGTTGAATTACGCTACAGTAATGTCCTAGTTTCTAGTATCTAGTACCGCCCAAGCCTCTATTTACCACCACACTCGCTATACCGATTTCCATGCACCTTTGGACCACCACCGACACACTACTCTCGTTCATGGTGTGAGAACTAGACCATGTTCTCTCGCTTGTATGTATAACAATACTCTTTTTTTCTTTTTTTTTCCATCTGTCTTTGTTCTCATGGGCTTTTTCTCTTTCTTTGTCTCTTTGATTCCGAGATTATGAGCGATGTAAACTGGGCGTTATTTGTTTTTTTGGAATCGGCAGACCACTGGAAGTGATGTGGGAGCCTTGAGGGCGTGAGGGAATTACTTTTTTCGTCTCTTTTGTATAAGCGAAGACTGGAGAGAGACAGGAGGAGTTGTGAGGAGGGGCGGATATGTACATGTATATCGATCGGAACTCGAATTTTCTCTTTCACCATGCTGACCCTTTGCACCATCGGGGGGAGATGGAGGCCGGAAAGGTGATTTCATGTAAACGAAATGGGAGAATAATATTCCATGTTTCTTGTCAAGGTCTTGCAGTGATGTGTGATATATATTTCTGGATGAGACTTTGGTGACCAGTCCTCTTTTTGCTTTCGTATCACTTGACGGTGTATATTTTGACTTGGGGGACGGCGACTATATATATAGAGATAGACAGGAACTGGGATTGCAAGGAGCAAGCATATCATCATGAATGAATTGAGTATACATATAACTGACTATACATATGCCTGACATATGCCTGACTATACATTATACATGGAGACGGCAACGAGGGTGGAAACTTTGGCTAAAGAATACATGGGGATCTAGTTTATTGTTTTTTGGAAATGAAAAGACCTCTTCCCTTTTCGATTGTGATTGTGATTGTGATTGCGATTCAAGTTACAAGGGTTGCGGGTTTAGTTTGGGTAGGCGGGCGGGTAGGTATGTAGGCAGGTAAGTGATCCCGGATGGAGAGAGAAGTTTGGTATAAGTCATGATATTCATCAAACCCCGGCTTTGTGCTCATTCCTCCCTCCTTCCTCCTTCCCCCTTGCTCCAAACCAGACTCCACAACTCTCATAGCGAGCGAATGGATAGTGTCTACTAAGTCGAAAATCAAGTCAACAAGCAAGCAAGCAAGCAAGCAAGCAGGGCCGAAGCCCTTTGAATCCCGCAAACTAGAGTACCAGAAATCGCAATGCGCATTCTTAATTCCCTGCAATCTGCAATCCACAATCCCAAGCCCAAGCACAAACACACCAAAGAACCCCCTCCCACCTGGAAAAACAACAACAAAAGACCCACTCCAAACGCCAATAATGCAATACAAAAGCACGCACACAATTTATATCATCCTACCCGCATGAATCCGGCAAAACAAAAGAGGACGAAAGAAGAGCAAGAAGCGAATGGTAGGGTAAATAAACACAGCGGTCAAAAAAGGGCATCAGTCGTGTATGCAAGCCAAATGTAAAGCAGCATGCGATTCGTGGGGGGAGAAAAAAAAAGCGCTCTGCGCGCCTTCCCCAAAGACCCCGAGACGAGTGGGAAAGAGAGTGAGAAAGGGAAAAGAAAAGAGGGAGAAGAAGATGGTATTCAAACTAACCCGCATAAAGCAGGTTGGTCTGTATTGGTAAATTTATATTGATTGGACGTCAAAGTCTGTGTAGAAAAATCCACATGTTTCTGATTTGCAAATGAACAAGAAGACGTAGAAGCCGTAAGAGACCAAGAGCAAGCATGAGAAAAAAACGAATGTAAAAAGAGGATACAATAAGTCCCCCATCATAGCCCAGAAATGCTATCATCTTTGGCATGGAACAACCAAGGAATCATCATGGACGGAAAAAGCCCCCCCCGAAAAAAACTTGGGGGAGAGAAGAAAAGGACAATATACACACTGATACTGAATACTGATACTGATAAACCAGCTACTCTCGACGCCAAGTGCAGCCCTTGCAAGCGTCGGAGTAGGAGACAATGATGGGGGAAATATGCCGTGGAACGCCTGGTTGCATGGAGATAAAGATGAGCCTGGGATGGGGAATCATGCCGAAGTACGCCGGAAAAGTGATGCCGGGTTTGTGGATGGAGATGGGTATCCTGTTGCGCCAAAGATATGTCTTGTGGGTGGGTGGGTGGGTGTGCGTGTGTATGGGTTCTGCTGTAATGAGTGGTGGTAGTAGTATTGCATCCACCTACTCTCTCAATCATCTCATCTTCATACCTCTCCTTTCTCCTGCTTCCCAAGTCTAGTAGACGTACTTTGCCGTCCTTCCTAGGGATGGCTTCGTCGCTGGACAGTCCTTCTCATTCTCGCGCCCTCTTGGTGCCCATCTCACATCCTCGGGACCGTACTTGCGCGCATACTGCACTTCGCTCGGGCTGTAACTTGCCTGGCGTGCTCGCCTTGGGTCGTTCACTTCGCCATACAGCTTGCGGCTGGAGCGGCCGCGATCTTCGGAATGGCGAATGGGGGAGATGTTGCGGGTCGAGGTAGTGCGGTCCATGGGCGGGGGGCGTGCGGCTGAAACGGGCTTTGTGGAGTAAGAAGTGGTGGTGGCTTCAGACGGGCGGTTGGGTCCAATGGGTGGGCGGGAGAGAGGAGACGGGGAGCGCTGATGGTGGCGTCCAGGTTCGCGGAGGACAGTGCGTGGTTTGCTTGCAGAGCCGGGCATCTCTTCTGGGCGGAGACTGGTGACGCCGTTGCCAGTAGTGGTGTAGTAATACTTCTTCGTGCTAGACGAGGGCTGCGGTAGCGGTACAGACGGGAAGGCGTCGTGCTCGGGGCTGTGGTGTTCAGGGGCCACGGGTTCCCGCAGGCCAGAGGGGCGAGCGGCAGTGGGTGCCTTTTGGCGGGGTGCCGAATGATTGGCGGGCATGGTGGCGGAGCGGTGGAGAGGGGCTGGTGGCGACTTGTCTGGACGGCGGTGCTCGCGAGGGACCTCGCTAGTGTAGGATCGCTGAGGCATGGAACGCGGCACCTCGATGTTGGCGGGCGACGAGGCCGAGTGCTTGAAGATGGGAGGGGCTCTCCTGTCGTCACTCCACTCGACAATCTCAGGAATGCCGCGGCCAGAAGACAGCATGGTGCGTTCGGTACGCTCCTTGGGCCGAGCTGACGATCGTCGAGGCGCCTCTGGTCGGACGTCTGGGCGTCGTGAAGAGCGGTGATCAGGGCCGTAGGCATCTCTAGACGAAGTTCTCGTGTACGTCGGGCGAGTCATCTCGGCTTCGACCTGGCCACGTGACTTGTGCTGGTAGCGAATGGCCTCCTCTTCCTGCACACTCAGCTTGCGCGCGCTGGACGGGGCGTACCGTGTCTCTTCGTAGGATCGGCGGTCTTCTGCCTTGCGTCGCGACTCTGCAGCCTGCTTGCGTGCCGCATCTTCCTCGCTGCGCCGCTTCCAGTCGGCTTCGTAGCGTGCCTTTTCGTCTGCCGAGGACTCACTGTCGACGGCGTTGAACTTGCGTTCGCTGCGGGATTCCTTGGCACGTGTCTTTTCGCGGTCCGAACGTGTGCGGTCGTTGGCGGCGGGGCGGGCACTTCTGGGAGACTCCTTTTCCGGACGGGCAGATCGCGAGGACGAGCTCATCTTGGTCGCTGGCTACCCTCCAATAGGCAACAGT